TCTGTCATCTCAGCAAATCATGGGAACAAAGGCAGAGAGCTCGCTTCTTTTGTCTCTGCCTGCTCAAGTCAGGCAGATGTTTTGTTCCTCCTGCCGAATTTCATGGATTGTCGGGGGGAGGGGGCAGTGACAGGCAGAGTTAGGGCTACATTGCAAGCATAGCACAGAAAGAGCCATTTCTGGTGAAAATCCCAGCCTAACCTGCCAGAAAACCTTTGCGCTCACCTTGCTTTAACCTGCAAGGCTGTACTTGGTCTGTGTGAGTTTGCAGAGGACATTTCCAGGCAGTTTCATACTCTTTATCCAGCAAAAATCAGTAAACTGTGGCATTCTGCCCCAGGATGCTGAGAAGGCTAAAAGCTTGTAAAGCTTCATGGTGGGTTTGTACAAATCCAGGGAGGGAAAAAACCCACCAAAAATTCTAGTACACATCTGCCCTGGTCTTGTGCTCCTCCAACTGCCTCCACTCCTAGGGGCTTACAGACACAATGCTGGGCTAGATGGATTTTGTGCTGCCTTGGTAAGGCTGTTTTCACATCAACTCCTTTAGAGGAAGATTTTGTTCTTCTTCCTCAGTTTGTGGCTGTTTCACGTTTCCTGGGGATGAGGCTGTAAAGCCGGCTTTAAGCTGGTCCTTGAAGGAGTTTGCTTGGCCTGAGGAGGCATCTGAGGTCATGAAATGGAGCTGAGCTGCTGTGCTGCAGATGAACGGATTATTTCTCACTCCTGCATTAGGAGCTCTGTGGATTCAGCCGTTTCTCCGTTACTCTGCTACTTTTATCCATCCCTCCATCCGCACACCCCTCCATCCACCCATTGACCAAGGAGCTCCCGGAGACATCTCTGAGCCACAAGACCTCCTTGGCCCTTGCCCCAAGTGTCTGCATGCTCAAATGGGCAGGAGCTGGCAGGGATGGAGGGCTCCACTTCAAGGGGCACAGACCCTCCCAGCACAGGGTTGAACATGGCTGGGTGAGACAAAGCACAGAAAAACACCCAAGCCAGGCCATCTCCAGAAACCACTCAAGAAACTGGTAGCAGAGGTGTGAATTGAGCACTTAGAGGGATAATCTAGTGTGAAATATTCAGTATCTGCCTCTCTCTCCCATTATTCCCCTGTGTCCCTTTGCTCTCCCCCATTAACCCTTTCCGTGGGGGTACCTAGCTGTATCACCCTGCTTCTGCAGCCCCGCAGAATAAAAAGCTGCCTTTCCTGGGAGGAAGGAGTCCCATTAAATCTGTGATGCTCTTTTCCCTCAGAGTTACTATCCAAAAGGCTCCTATGGGACTCACAGGCTATTCAGCCCGTAATGATCCCGCATTACCTGGCCTCATTAAACAGTGAGTGGGCTGGAAGGTCCTTGGAAAGGAAGAGAGTTCATGAAGGTGGGAAGGAGAGTGACACAAGAAAAGGATGCTGACCATGACAGGCATGGGTGCACTGACCCCAAAAAGCCTCCCCAAGGGCTTTCCCCCACCGCCAGGGCTGGCAAACAGGGATGAGACTTTCCTACATAATATTAACTAGTGCTGCTTCTTCCAGCTCATGCAGGCCCAGGAAAGCCACCACTTGGGCAGAGCTCACCCACGAAACCCTGGTAGAAGAGGGGAGCAGCCCCCTGTAAACCGGCTGGAGACACCAGTCCCGTGCCTTGTCCCACCATCATCTACTGGAGAGGTGGCTGCCGCAGTTCTGGCTCTCAGCGCAGCCTTTGGACTGTTCTGCAGCCCAGGCGTTTGTCACGGGGATGCTATTAATTAGCCTCAGGGATCCCCAGGAACGGGCGCAGCCCTAATTACAGCCCTTGCCTGTTGACTTTGTCTGGGCTGGTGTCTCTGCTTTTAATGCAGAAACAAAAGGGAGCGGACTAAGACAAGTGGTGCTATTAAGAAGGAAGGGGCAGGGGAGGGAGAGAGGATCCCGCATGCTCCGGGAGTCGGGATGCTCTCCGCAAACCGATTTCCCCCCAGTCCAAGTCACCGACTTTGCCAGAAACCGCTGGCAAAAGCTGCTGCTCCAAGGTTTCTCTTTGCCTGGGTGATAAAGGGCTAATTGGATGCGGATTAAAAGTCACTATTAGGGATAATCTATGAGCAGGCCGTGGAAGTGCGGGAAGCATCCCTCCCTTGTCTCTGGGCACAGCGCTGGTGGATGTGTGCGGGCTCTGGTCCTTTGTGTTTCACTCCAAAAAAATGAAAAAAGATACTTTGAAGCGCAAGATGAGCTGGGGGAAGGGAGATGGGATGGGGGGCGGGGGGGGAGCTGGGAAGAAATAATTGCCATGTCTGAAAACAGTTACTATGGCAGCAACAGCCGCCTTGCTGCTGGAGCGAAATGTTGGGGACCAGCGAGCGGTCCCTTTGTCAGAGACTCGCAGACACACATTTAGATGCTAATGCCGGCTTTAACCTTGGCTGCTTAACCTTCATATGATGGGGGGGGGGGGGGCGCAGAAAAAGCAGAGGAGGGTGTGTGTGTGGAAAAGATGGGTTTCCTCTCCCTAAATTTGCCACTGAATGGACTTGGCAGACTCCTCTCAGCTGCGATTAAGACTGTTATTTCTACGCTTAACATTCAGGGGAGGTCTTAACAGCTTATTTATGGATAGCGGGCATTAGCTGCAGCATAATTTACCACTGCAACGCTCCTCTTTATCTCCATCCCCTTGGGATCATCTGATATAAGGCCGTTTTTTAGAATATCCCCTAGGTTTGATCAGCCTGTCTACCTAATCTTGCCTTTATTTATAACTCACAATCAATGCTGGGGTGAAAAAAGGAGGGGCACAGAGGAGGGAAGTGTCTCCTTTGGACTTTGGCTGTTGGGGGAAAGGAAATTTTGCCAGCCTGTTTAGAAAAGGAAGCCTTTCAACTTGAGGCTCGAAGCTGTCTTCAGCAGTGAGGATGAAGGAGGAGGGAGAGAAAGGGTTGGAAGTGATGGAGAGGGGGAATTCCCTGGGGAGTGCTGCCCTGCCACAACACCCAAGGCTGAAACAGCGTCTCCTGCACCGGACCCGGCACTCCTCACAGCCCAAAGGTAAATTCCTAAAACACAAACCTACTGCACACAGATTAACCACTAATTCTGGGTGCAGCCCAGGTTGCATTTGCCTTGGGATTATCCTGCACAGCAGCGTTTAAGAAAGCTTTTGCTGGAGCAATTCAGGCAGAAGCGAAGAGAGCGGTGACGGATCTGCTGGTGACTCCACTCACGGATATGACCCTTTTCTTCTATTTCTGGCATTTTTTTTCTTTAATGCTCCAGCTCCTGGAGTCAGGTGATCACTCACAGCTTTCTCTACTTGCTCTCATTACCTTTACGTGGTTGCAGAGAAAAGCCTGAACTCATGCCAGCTCAAAGGCCAGCTGATGAGGACAACCCCAGTGCACAACAGGTTTTCATTTTCCAGCCTGTGCAACGCCTGCGCCTTGCTTTTTGAGCGGCTGTGCAGAGCGTGGAGGCGATGCCACCTCACATGTGCCAAGGAGCGTTTCTCCCAGCTGCACGCTGGCGGGGATGCAGCTCCCTGCACTTTTCACGCTGTCACCACATGATGATTTCCATCAAAACTGCGCCCAGTGTCACCTCCAGAGACCGTCACAGTGAGCTGCCTGTATTTTTAATGATGGCATGTGTTAGCAGGTAGTCTTATCTCCATGCAAAGCCACAACACACATCCTTGGGATGAAATATGAATATGAGAAATGATCCCACTCCAGCCTGACAATCCTCACTGCACGCTGCGTGGTGAAAGCATCTTAAATTAAAAGCAGTATCTGTCTTCTGCAGCACACTTCTTTCTCCGGGGCTTTCTAGTTAAGCTGTCAGATACAGTTGATATTTATTTTATAAATGCTGTAAAAGAGGGGATAGGTAATATCGTAGGAACAACCCTGCTGCTGCTCTTCGTCTCAGAAGCAACACCAGAAATAAATGCAACGGCAAAGAGCAGGGCAGGCCTTCCCCAGAGCATGCAGTGGGGGTGGCTTCCCTGTCCCCACACTGGCCTGGAAGGGGCTTCCAGGAGGAGTAGCTGGGCCAGCAGCTACATGGCTTGGGGCACTGAGCTGTGCTGGGCCCTGGGGGGCTGGTTGGCCACAAGGACCTCAGGGGTTTTAACATGGGTTGAGGGTGTTGATAGCTTTGACAAAGTATGAGATGCAAAAAGCATTGACAGCAGTGGTTAGCCGTTCGCCCCCCCCCCCCCCCCCGCCCTGGATTCAGCGCAGGTGAGGTTTTCCGTTCCCTGCATCTCTCGGCTTTGGGAGACTGTGCGAGCCCCTGGGGATGCAGATGCTCCGTGTCCTAGCACCAGGCTGGGGGGACGATGACTCCTGAGCTCTCTCGTCGCCAGCACAGGCTCTGCTTTTGCAGGAGCATCGCATCGCTCACCCGCTTTCCGGGCTTAGCTCGTCACCGGTCCCAGTCATCCCGCAGAGCTGTGCATGAACCACTTTTGCAACCCCCCCCCCCCCCGATTCCCTCAGCCGGGGATGACACATGGTGCAGCAGAAGGTCCCTCCTCGTGTCTCACGCGCAATGAATGATGTTTCGGCTTGGTACTATTTTAAGGTGTTTGTTTTTTTTTTATGATTTCTGTGGTCGGTGACGATGCAAAGCGTAGGGATAAGCAAGCTTTAAGCACGGGGCAGGGGACACTCGCTCCCAGGCGACCGCGGGGCTGTCCCCGGGCAATGGAGCGCAGCAAGTCAG